AAAAAAAAGGGCGCGGGGGGGGGGGGGGATAGAGGGAGGTGCCGACTGTCGCGGCCTTCACGTGCTTTAATCAAAGCCATCCATCACGTGCGGATAATTAGACAGCAGCATAGATCTCGCTGCCACGTCCCGTCACTTACATCCCGCGCGCATTTTGTGCGCATCGCCACGAACAGCCACTTTTCCGTCTTTGCAGATGGAGACGGAAAAGCATCTCAAGACAAGTAAAGTCTTCCATTCGGTCGCCATAGTGACACCAACCGGTCAGAGCCAGTCGGTCATTCTGGCCAATTAAGTTGAGGTTTAACACTGCTGATCCAGAAACTTTGCTGACTTCAACTCACTGCGGCAAACGGCAAATTGAAGCCAAGTCATAGTTCAAGTTTGCCAACACATTTGTGTCTTTTTTTGGGGGGGGAGGGGCTGATGATGCAAATTTATGACCATATGGTTGATCAACTGCAGTAAATGCGTTCCCATCAGACAGACAGTCAGTCAGTACTGTTTTATTTCTTTTTTTTGCCATGTGAGCGCTCACACAGATGCAAAAGAACTCGGAGTGTCAATATTTAGACAAGCTTGTAAACTTAAATCAGGGCAGCGGTGCTCCGGGCGAGGATTGGCAGCCCAAAGTGATAACTTTAATCTTAACCCCAAAACGATTGACTGTATTTTTTGTGGATAATCAAGCTGCCATTAACGATTCTTCCAATTAAATTGCATTTGTGCACGATCAGTATTACAACCGCAGATTAGCATAATCCATCCAAGTCGTCTTTTCATATGACGTTCGCTCATCGTCGACCAACAATGCTGCTCCAGTTTTAACGGGGCTCGCTTTATTACGCCGATGAGTGCGTCGAGAGCGTCCACAAAGGAATGCGAATCGAGTCAAGACGCGGAGACGCGCGCGTATACTCCATGTTGACGCTTTACTCGGTGATGCGTCTGCTGACTAAGACCAGTTGTCCTTCCTCCGCTGCGTCCTCACACACCCTGTGATTGATCACGAGCCAGCGGCGAGGACGCGGCGTGGATGTGTTCCAGGGAAGGTGAAAACTCCCCAGGATTTGTTTTTCCTCCCATCTTTGATTTGTCATCCCGGCAACACCATTCCGCACACAATCACATGCAACGAGGGCCTGAAAAAAAGAAAATCACCCCCCCTACCCCCCATCCCCAGTTGTCCTTCCTCCGCTGCGTCCTCACACACCCTGTGATTGATCACGAGCCAGCGGCGAGGACGCGGCGTGGATGTGTTCCAGGGAAGGTGAAAACTCCCCAGGATTTGTTTTTCCTCCCATCTTTGATTTGTCATCCCGGCAACACCATTCCGCACACAATCACATGCAACGAGGGCCTGAAAAAAAGAAAATCACCCCCCCTACCCCCCATCCCCACAC